CTGAATGTTAGTAAATCGTTGCAATACTGTGGCACAGACATGCTGTGGCATGTGTTCTTGTATTATGGGGATAATTACTAAAATACTAGTCGCACAAGTCATATTCAAAGCGTATGGGTAACGAAGTCCGTAACAGTGGCACGGGACCTGTTTGACGACCCATGAGACCAAGCCATTTGCTCTAGTATTTGAGATGATCAGATGCCTTACGTGCTCGAGGAATCGTTTTCACATGGTAGGGATTTGTGTCCGCGCTCCGCGTGTTTGGAAAACTCTGTTGAGGCTTTCTGTGGTAAATATTTTGTCCTTTCAGAAGTATCTCCTATTATGGATTAATGAATTTTTCATACTGCCAGCCAGTTCTGTCATTCACTTCGGCGTTATGAAAATCCTTCCCATTTGTTGCATAGCAGCTTCCGCTGACTTCATTTTTAGAACGGCTGCAGTCATTTCATTTTGATTTGTAAACGGAATCAAAATTTCTGACTAATGAAACATAAAACATGCTGCAACCAGCATGCACAGTGAAAGTATTAGCACTGTAGCAAAAAATGTCGAAGTGAAATGTCATATTATGTGTTAACTACAAACAATAACTTGCGCAAGACTAAAATTGGATAAATGATAACCGATTTAAAAAAAGATTTATAACCTTTCATTTGAATCACATTCTTACTGCCTCCTGAACTATGCCTTTGCGGTGACTAAACGTTCGAAGGCCTCTCCATATGACAGCATAGTGTATAATCATTTTTATCTTTATCATTATTTGCTTCATATGCTGTATTTCTCTGTCAAGACCTCATTGTTGTTTTAACGTTATGATTGAAAAGTTACTGAGATGCTGTAACTGCAAGCATCAGTGACTGTTTTCAAGGTACTAGCTTTTGTGACGTTATTTTAATTTCGCGCGGGCTGCTTGGCAGTGTTCTTTTCTGTTCTGCATGAATTTAGGTGACATGAGTTGTTTAATCTCTGTAAGTGCTTTGCACTGCTATGGCAGAGGCTTGTGTTGCTGAAATGCGTATTACTTGGTTAGGCAGTGGCAGTGTATTATATATTGTGCTGAAGGCATCATGAGCGTAATTGCATTTGCACTTAGACTCTGCCTGTTTTGTCTATTCCTTCCAGCTACGATGTTCAGTGTCTAGACTGCTTTAAAACTTCTCTTGATTGGCTGAATTTCCTCTCACGGTTCGTTCGTTTTAGGCCGAAGCAGATGTTCGCGTGGCTCAGAGCGAGTTCGACAAACAGTATGAAATTCTGAAACTCCTCTTAGAAGGAATTCAGACCGCGCACGTAAGTACGTGGTTCCTTGTTAGGCGTTCTAATTGACTGATCGTTATAGAATAACCATTTGAAATGCATGAGAGATTTCGTTGAGGAACAGATGGCGTTTTACGCGCACTGTCATCAGCACATGGCCGATCTACAGCGTTCAATTTCTGGGTATGACACGTTTGTTTTTATTTGTTCTTGTATTGTTGTTTACTGCGTGCAGTGTTGGTGTGCTGTTCGCTTCTAGTAACTGGATTGCAAAATCTGCATGGAAAGAAATTTTATGTGCAGTTTCGAGTTTCGCTTTTGCTGCTTTCTTGATGTAGGTTCACTTACGCTTCCGCAATCAGCGGCATCTCTGTCTCACTTCTTTATGGAAGTAAGCGGTTCTGCTCTAACTTATTTACATTTTGGTATATGGGCGAGAGCGAAGCAGCAGATTGTGCACTGTGCAGGTGACGTGACTGTTTACAAACAGCATCTTCATATATAACGTGGGATAAAACGCAGATTAGCGCCACACCATTAGTTCCACGAAAGTAGGTGTAGTAGGTGGCAATCAGTGAGAAAGTTTAACGGAAGATAATGTACTAAAGATTTAAAACTGAAAATTTAACATATTCATGTTTGTGAAGAAGACAGTACACAGGGTTGTACGGAATAATGTTTAAACTCTCCTTCCTTTTTATACAAAGGTGTGTTTGCTTATTTTCTTCAGTGAGGTAAAAGCGACAGATCTAGCAAATATTCCAGTCTGAAATCTTTCAATTGTATATCGGCGCCGCTCAGCTGACTGATCTGCATGGCTACCAATGGCGAACATCGAAATTGCATTACTGGCGGGTAAAAATTAGAGTATGGCGAAACTGCGATGCCGATCTTGACTTTTGAAAATGGCAATAGAATTTTTAAGGAAAAGTTTGCACGGTCCTTTGACTTTCGTATACTTGAGCAAGTGCGTATGAAATCAAAATTTAATGAGCAGGCTACGCTTAATAAACAAACAATTTATCATTCTTTCAGTCGCCAGCAACTTTGATAGAGAATTACAAGTTGAAGATTATTTTAACCTCTCTCCATAGATGAGGGTACGGATTTTTGCATACTCAGCGAAAATCCACAGGTTTATCTATCGATGCTGGGAGACGGAGATGTTAAAGTTACAGTTTCAGCTTCGCTGCAGTTTCGTTAGCAAATCAGCAATACTTCTTGCGAATTTTTTTCTCATCGCTCTTGACTGTTTGGTAAATAAATTTCTAAAAGTTAAGACACTGGACATGCATTACTTGAGAAAATGGTCGAGCTGGTCTGGCTTCTCATCTCTGTTCATCCCGCATTTTCTCGCTGGCTACGCGTAGCTCTCTTTGTTGACCATAAGTTTCTGCAAATCAGAATTTATGGTTCAACATTCTGAACCATCTTGTGAGTGTAAATGCCGTTATCGATCTGTACGCAGCCGTCGTGAAACGGTGCAGCGCAGAGTTAGGATTAAATGTTGTATGAAGAATAATAATAAGGTTAAATTTACAGTTTGCCTGAATATGTGGAGCTGCATAATTTTAGTAGCGTACAACAACACCTGAGATATTGGCGAGTGATGGAATTTGCTTTGATATCAGATGAAGGAAGATGATTAAACAGCGTGAGTAGACAGAGTCAAATGCGACTGCTCGTTGGTATCTAACCAATTTTTTTCTGATCAGCATATGTTTAGGGCACTCAGCGGCGAAAGCACTGTTCATCCATTTCCTAGTTTGCCAGTCGGACGAAGCAACATACCACCAGCGACACCAACGAATTCAACGAAGACTTAGGCGTGTAACTTTTGTCCATCGTTCCATTCAAAACATGGTAAGAACTTCTTACCAATAATCAAGGTCAGGTTAGCGCTCGTGGCCGAGGTTGTTCATTCGGTGACCGTAGAACTGACAGTAGAGAGGTGCTGGATTTGCGGCCCGGCCCGGTCACTCACCTTTCGTTGCAACCAGTTAGAACCACTACGTGTGAAAGAAATGAGAGACTACACACTGCTGTGGTCAGAAAGCTGTATATATAGCTTTTAAAACTACAACAATCACCCATGACTGATGATATAGAAACGGAGGTAGCATTTCACCATAAGCTTTATGAAAGAAGGTGCAACAAGTGGCATCGAATCAGGAATATAGGCTTTCCTCCAGTGGTTGTAATCTCTGTTTTTCGGCCCAGCAGTTGCGACTCGGTCGATCAGCAGCGGGCTTCAGCCCTGCCCCGACAACTTGTGTTTCATCCTTTCTCATAGATGGAACAGGGCCGTTTGCTTGAAGGAAGTAGACTTCTGCGCGCTTTGTTCGTCATAGATTTGCAAATATTGTCTTCAAGTACGCGACTTCTAGTATCGGAGGTAATCGGCGTGATCCAAATGAAAAAGAACCTGTCGTTGGTACCTGTGATAGAAATATAAGAAAAGACCAACATCCCTACTGATACAGACTGCTCCTTCCTTTCAAAATCGCTTCTTTAGCGTACAGAAGCCTCAATTCTGGTGCCAGGGTAGATCAGAGTGCGTTTTTCTCTTTGAGATTCATAAGAACGCTTTATTAGCTGCTAATTCAAAGGGTGCCTCACTAGGTTTTAATCTTTCATTTCTCGAGTTTTCCACGGGTTTTGTTGCGGCAGCTTTGGGAATTTTGGTTTACCTTGGCGGTTTATACATCGAAACGGGGTGCGACGTATAGGATCAGGATACTTGTAAATGTTTATGATGCAATTATTTTATGTATTTTTTACGGATTACACCTTTTGTTGACTTAGTCAGCTGTAAATTGCCAAGGCGATTTGCACCCCTCAGGTGCATGCTTCAGACAGCATGGTCGTAGTCTCTCGCTTTCTGACATACCAGATCAAAGCACCATGTTCCTTTTGTTTGCAGGTCAGTAACTTGCTAGCCATTTTTCGGCTGTCTACGTCAAAGCAAATGTGGGTGAATTCCTTTCTCAAAATGATTAGTAGTTGACAAAAAAACCTGTAAACTCCGCCTTTGCCGGTCCCAAGCCCGGATGAGAAAGGAGGAGGGTTGGGAACCGTGGCGAGGTCTCCCGTAAAACGTAGCCTCCTGCCCCTCGTGTTATTTCTGTTATCGAACGATATCCGGCTCGTTTGTTGCCCGGGTTACCGAGAACTGCTCAGGCTGTTGAAAAACTGAAGCAAAATGTGAAAAAATCAGAACTTGAACCTGTTTCACACCTTCTGACAACTGAAGGCGTAACGGCACGACAACGGTTGCTAATGATCGATACAACAATGACGAAGGTACTAGTCAGCAATAGAGTCGCCATTGTTTCTAAATCGAGTAAGTAGGGAGCGCGATGCCATTATAGTGGATAAGATAACGTTAAACGGAACGATACTGAGTGTGGAAGCTTACAGTAAAAAACAGGAGCGTCTCCTCACTCAGAGAGAAGGTGCAGCAGGTGGTTCATGATTCCGCTAGGCACCAACTGGAATATATGGGAGAGCCTTGATGTACCGCGGTGCTTCTTAAGATTGAGAAATATTGGCGGCGATTGTTTTGGCGCGTGTTGCCAATGCTTTTTGAAAGAAAGGCGTGTCAGCTACTACTTCTCCTGCCGACCTTCCGAATACCATGGCCGGCCAAAAATGACCTGGAGCAAGGCATGGAAGTACTCTGCTCCGCATTCCGGTAATCTTCTGTTGAAACTCAAGCCGTGACACAAGATTGGGAGTGTTGGAGACATTGTATAACGCATCTGCTTCTGCGAGTCGAAAGAAGTTATAATCGAAACTGACGAACAAGAAACCTGCACACGCGACTGGGATTTAATACCCTCCTCGTTTAGTGCCATGTTAACCCGTTAAAACAGTGTGTATGCTAAATCCATGTGTATGTTCTTCCCTTGTAGTAAGCTCAATTTTTTTGTTAGCCTGAACAACTGGACAGCCCATTCGATTAACAGAAATTGATCATTTTAAACTGTCAGCTGTTAAAAAGGCTCTCCCTGTTTCTTTAAATCAAAAATTCGCTCATTTTATTTTATCGCGAATTGACATTATTTTCACATGTCACTTTCTATATTTTGCAAACAGAATTTCTTCTGACGTTAAGTACATCTCAGGTTTCTGCTATTGACTGTGTACAGTTGTTTATGCAAAAGATACGCCTGCATTAACAGTAATGTACATTTTCCTCCGTTGACATGTCCTTATTTTTTTGTACTGTGATACAGTATTTCATATAATCAAGCAGTGTATCAGACTTTTATGCACTCTCAAATCACCACTTTCGTGTGGCACTGCTGACTGTAGTAGAGGCTTTCCAAGCACTTATTTTTGGCATTCCGCGCTGCTATTGTATGACTGTTTCAAGAACGCTGTCACAACAGCCGTGAGAATGTCATCCTTTATTGTGGTGAGCATGCTGCAGTTGCGTTGACTTGTCTCTGGTTTACATTTTGAATTTGGTTGGCTAAGGTCTCAGCCGTGGTACATTTTATTAGCTGCTGATTTTAGTGACGGACTTGATCATTCTGTCGTGCCCTGATATGCCCATCGAAAGAATTGACAGAAATTGATATCCTGCGAGCAGTTGAAACAGTGTAGCACCCTATGATAAATTTGATACGCTATTCAAATGATGAGATACTACACATCGAGCAACATTTAGTTACGGTTTGTTATCTTTGGATGACAGTGATGACAGCGAACGCACCTGATTCGATTTCTGCAACGGTACGCAACCATTGTGTACAACAGTTATATTTTAAACATCTGGCACTCCTTGAAAAAACTGCGATGCTCACTGACCCACTCGATAGCTTTCCTGATCATTGCAAGGTGTAACCTCTAAATAAAGTTGATTCTGTTGTTGTTTTTGAACGGGTCACATATTAAAGTCAACTTTGCTTTTAGCGTATGACAGTTCCACTTCACTGCTGTGAATTATTTTGATAAATTATTGGTTTTCTCGACAAAATGCTTACCTACAAACGTGATATCGTTGTATTTCGGAAAGCTAAATATGGTTCGTCCCGTCATCATGGATTTCTGTGGTTTTCGTTCCGTAGGTGACTGTCCAATGTTGAAAGGTAATACTTCGCCACTTCTCTTGAAAAATATTTTGATGTTACGTTTTAATCCTCTGGTTGTTCTTGCTGTTGCTATACTATCGTTTTGATCAATAAAGTGCGATGTGAAATTGACTTGCCTTTTCAATAGCTGGCGTTATTAATGAACTGAGCGAGTATGGCT